TTTTCGTAGTATTTTGATTCATAAAAATCGAATTTAGGATGTGTAGTTTATGAGTTATAAGCATTTAAAGTTTAGACAAGTGGAGTAGTGGACAAACATTTTGCAGGGTAACCCTGCATCACTCCACTATGCCAATCTCTGCCAAAAGTCAATACTTTTTTAAATAATGAGTTGTTTCATAAAAGAATCACTCTGTATAATCTATTATAAGTCTATGCCTAATGATAGAGTCTATCAGATAGACTATGAAATTATGTTCTTTTTTTTATAATCATATTTTTTTATAAAAATAAAAAAGTAGAACTAATAAGTAATAACAAAAACACTTTTTAATTTTGTGTAATTACCTGCAAAACACTTATATCATTAGAAGATCCCARATTGTTTTCTTTCCAAACATCATACCAATGGCGAATTGTCCTGTATTTCGGATTGATAGTGGCATTAGCCAATTCATCAGAGTTAATACCATATTCTAATTCATGTTTCGATTCATGCATTTTAATAGATTCCCGATATACCTGAATTAAATTAATATGTGTAAATAAACTCTAATTCAAAATATGGAAATTAATAATTCAATAATTATCTTACYTACCTAAACCATCATTAAAATAGTTTTAAAATGTGTTTTACATTTTTTAGAAGGCCTCAAAAATGATAGTGCTTCTGCAGATCTAATATTGTGGTTGTGGTCATTATTGATCTTTATTATAGCTGGCAATCCATTCTAAAATAAAAATTGTTTAAAATAATAATACTTAAATACTATTGCCTATTGGTACCTACTAAATTAAATCAACTATAATATTAAAGTTAGTAGGTACCTATGAGCTATGGCACCTAATTATTAATATTATAAATCATTATCTTACTTACTTTTACAAACTTATCTTTTTTTTTTTTGTATCCTTTGTTGTTAATTTAATTCGAGATTTAATTATTATGTAAATCTTAGCATTACACAGTGTAATTTTTTATCTTCCTTTTTTATTATTTGTTTTGGTTATTTTATTGAAACCACTTTGATGGCATCCTTAGATCTTTCTAGTAAATATTAGGAACAACTATTATTAGAAAGCTTTTTTGAAAAAAGTTTTTTATATGATAAAATAAAATGTTACGGTATGCACTAGGTATTGAACTATTATTGCAAACAATATCTATTTTTCTATTATTTAATATTACCTATATAAATATTAAAATTAAATTTAAAAAGGTGGGAATGTGGGTATAACCTAGACGTTCTCCCATTAGGTGGTGTAAAGGGGTCACATATCATTCCCCTAGACAAATGTGAAATAATAGTTATTTTTTTAATTGTAAATAATGAAATATTTTTACTGATAATACAACATTACATATTATTATAACATAGGTTCATAATTTATGATTTATCTATGTTGTATATCTATTTTCTGTTATTAATAAAAACAATTTTGTTGGTACGTAGTTTTTCTTTATAATATTGTTACCCCCTGTGCTCTAATTGATGAGCAGTGGGCACACTTGGGTATCACTGTGTTGTATAGTAGATGTGTAGTCGGTCACCAAAAAGGCTATAAATGTGTTAAATTTTAATTCAATTATTTTTCATGGTACTATTTTGTACTTATTCAAAAAATCAATTCTAAGCTGAGATTTGCGTCAAGTATATGTCATGAAATATTTTTTGCTATTGCCATTAAAGTACCGATTAAAGTTGGTTGATTAAATTTTTGCAGAAAACATACATTTATTATGCTATTTATATTAAGTTATTATAGTTTATATTCATAGCATTTTATATTATTATTGTTATTAATTATATACGGCAATAGGTACCACTTAAGTTCTACAGTAAAAAGTAGTATTGTTTTAAAAGTGTAAATGGGTTTATAGTATGAATACCTAGGTTATATCTTAAAATGATTCATATATTTTTAAAATGTAATTGTGCATAGTAAAATGTATGGTAGGTATTATATTATGTAAAAGTTATAATTCAACATGAATATTTTTTTTAGTTACCTATATCAAAAAACAACACATCATTGTAAAACTAATACATTCATTGCTCCACTCAGAATTTAAATTTATAAAAATAACTATAATATATATAAGAAAGTATTACACTTTTCCATTAGTATTTGAAATACCTGCAATCATTGTTACTATAGATACATAAATGATTAGACGTACATAATTATTGCGTAGGTCTTCGGTAACATTATTAATTTACTATTTAGTAAATATGAAGTTAACTTACCTACACACAAATTTTGAACATTCATTAAATGCTGATTTATATATTCACTAATCTGTCTAAAAATGTCTTGCTCAGAGAACAAATTTGAGCGATAAACATTACTTTCACATTCATTTAATTAAAAATAATAATCAATAGGTGGTATATACTATTGATTGCACTGTCTATTGTAATGGTTATTTTTAATCAATCATTACAATATTACAGAAATCGTGTTATTTATAGAATTTGGTGATTAATTGATAATAAATACTCGTGTGTAGGTTAATTCTAAATACGTGCTTAAACATAATATGTAATTCAAATTCGATCTAATAATTTGTACGCGATATTAAACTTGGCGGGAATTTAAAATCGACCAATGAGAATGCGTAGTTGAACACGGGTGCCGAAACAGATCTCATAATGCTTATATGCCGCCCGTATCGATAACATTTTGTGCGTTGAACAATATTTTCTTATCTGTCTATAAATAAAATTAATAACCCGACAAATCGCGGCATTCGATGGGCAATCTCGAGAAATATCAACGATAATATCAATATATCAACGTTATTTTGATTGTATGAATAAAAAAATAAAAACGTCAACGAAAAAATATTGGTAAAACTATAAATTATTTAAAATATGTATCTAAAAGTATCAAATGGAAGAAATTTGTACTAAAAAACGCAAAATATGCATTTATATGCAAAATAAAATTTCAAAACTAGCTTTGTGGAAGCATGAAATGCATTTGTGTCGCACTGATATTTTTGTAATTGTGCAAAAAATATGCAAATGCTATAAGTCCTCTGCCCTAATGATGAATAATGATTTATAATATGAGATAACAAAGAATTTTAATAAGAATAAAACATATAACAAAATTACAAAAGCAATTTCAAACATAGATTTCACTAAACAGTAAATACAATTTTAATGTATAAATGCACATACATATTAATATGAATTAAGCACAAAATAAACCAATTGAATGAGAAAACATACATTCTTTGATATTTGATTCATGAATATGATCAGATTCTATAACTTCATTTTGATGAACATTTTATTCATGAATAGCATCAGATTCTTTAAGATAACGCTACACTCGCAGGTGTTATCTCCGTCTTACAAGTGCATAACATATCAAATTTTACACTCAGCAGATCATATTTAACTCCGTTAGTTTAAAATTTAGAGTGAATTGACCTCTTATAAAAATTAAAGGTATCATTATTTTTGTGGGCTTCTCTTAGGCTTTTTATTATATTTTAATTTTATAGCGAGTTATGTGTATTTTAAGATATACAAATAATTTACAATTTTAAATTGCAGTGGATATCATTTATGGTCTAAATATAATTATCAATAGAAATACTGTTGTGATGTATAGCATTTTTTGAAATTGTATATAATATATTTATAATATAAATATTATAGGAAAATTTTATTTACCTTATTTTGTCAGTACCCAATGTCACTTTATGCTGTATGGAACAGTAAATCTTGTTCTTTCATATGGTACCATTGAAAAAAAAAACCACTGCTATAGAAGTAATGTCACTTTTTGGTCGGTTTTTTAATTACTGCTATAGCAGTACTTTTTCATGACTGTCCAGTGCAAAGCAACAAAATATTATTTAACTGATTCTCATACTGAATATGAATATACTGAAAATCTCATATCAAGAGTATCCTCAGGGCTCAGGCAGCATCTGATTTAAATCCGGCTTTCGAGTATCTCAATTAAATCATCTTTCATTAAATTTTTTTGTAAGTTTTCATTCCAATGATTATCTACTTTTATTTTAATCTWAGCAAAATTCAAGTACTAATTTGGATCCATTAAYCTCACTCATTCCCGCTGCCATTTGCAATATCCTACCGTCTGCTTGTTATGACACTTATATAAGATAGAGTATCAAAAGATTTTTAAATTCCTAGGAAGCTTGTTTTTAAGAGTAAATAAATATTTTTTATATTTGTTGATTTATTTTATTTATTTTTATAGGTTGGTACCTACACGGAAACAACTTGAAACTATTTAGTTCATCAGCCAATTCACATGCAAGTTAATAAAGGCGGAGTTATTGATGATTGGTGATTGATGAATTTAATGATTTAGTTCCAGGTAAGACATATGTTATTATAATATTTTAACTTAGAAGAAATATACTTTAATATTTGAGAAATTGATTAATATTTATTAATCCAAATAATCAAATCAATGTTTAAAATATTTCACCAGAGGTTAGGTTAGCCTAAACATCCTTGAGTTCAGTTTTAGTTAAGTCGAGAGCCTATGCCTTGTTCTAAGAGATATTGTTTTGAAATATATCATTATCTTTATAAAAATATATTTTTTAAAGTCTAATATATCATCCACAAATATTTTAGTTGAAATATTGCAGATTTATAATTTTTATTGTAATAATTATCATTGTATACTCCATAAGACCATAATAATGTGTGACTACAACAGTAAATGAAAATAATCATGTTTATAAACTATAAAAATAGTAGTTACTGGTTTGTATGTAATGTTTTGGATATAACCAACGTGCTTAATAATTTTTAGAAACCTTAGTATGTAGTACTTTTTGAAATCAAGGATGGATCACCAGACACAAATTATTAAATCTCGATTAATAATGGTTGCTTCATACTGATTAGTTCAAAATAAAACCTTTCACAATATACTTACGCAGTATTTTATTATATTGAACGTTACCTAGATAGGTTCAATATTTTTGAAGATCTAGGTACTTGGATAATGATGTGTTGCTTAATGCCTATTATTAAATTAATTTATTTTAAWCAAAATATTTGAAATAATTTTAGGCACTCAAATATAACTTCCATATTTCCAACTTAAATGTTAAATTTTAAATTATAATTGCATTATTTACTATTTTAATTTTAGAATAATTAGAAAAAACATATTAAGATGCATAAGTGCAACACCCATTTTTGTGTCTAGCTTGTTTTAAACCTACCCATTATAATATTATTTACAGCTAACACTTAAAATATCTTAATTGAAAAAAAGTATGAAGAAATTGATTTTTAATGATTTTTAACAAACTGACTATAACTAACTGTATACGATTGTACGAAACATAATTACTTGAAYCTATACATAAGAAATTAGTTTTAAACATAATTATTTGTATATTTGTATACTGTTCTTATTACTTCTGCATTATATAAAAGTTAGTTGATATCCCACTATGTAATAAACGTTCAAGCTTTGATGGTGTTGTAATAGTTAACGTAAGTACCAACTTTGTCATTTTTTTTTATTTAGGTGTGTTAGTGTATAGGCTACTATAGCTACATTGATTGCAATCGATCTGTTAAGATAATGGATTCTGGACGTCAACAGCAGCTGGACAAAAAGCAGCTATTGCAACAACAGCAACTTCTGTTGCAAAAACAATTACAACAGCAACAGCAACACCAACATCAGCAGCAGCAGCACCATAATCTCCAACAGCTGCAGTTAAAACAACAGCAGCAACAATTAAAACCACAGCAGCAGCCGGTATTACAAGCACAAGCACAATATTTGCAGCAGCAGTTATCACCAAACCAACAACAACTACAAACGCGGAATCAAGATTTTCTGAAACAACGAGGTATGCAACATGGTAATTTGAACCAGCAGCAACTTCAGGAACATCAAAAAAATCAAGATCAAGCAATTATAGAACTCTTAGAACTCAATGATAACAATAAATATGAAAACAAAAATCAAGAAGACTGTCTTATTGTACAACGAGAACAAGTTATCCAACCACAGCAACAATCTAGTCTACAAAGACAACAGCCACTGAAGCAGCTACAATCACAATTAATGCAACAATCCCAACTTGGTCAACAACAACAGCACCAACAGCAAACGCAATTTTTACAACAATCGCAGCAGCAATTTCAGAATGTACAACAACTACAAAATATGCCGCAAATACAAAATTTGCAACAATTACAGACTGTGCAACAACCTCAGCTGATAACACARCCACAGATTGTACCAAACACTCCAGTTGTAGGACAGCCGTCGTCTATACAAAAACCCAATTCGTTACAACAATCGCAGATTTCACAGCTACAGAATAATCAGTATTCTCCCGTGTCTACACAGCAACAGTCTAAAAAACAGCCTCCTCCTCATACTCAACAATTACTCCAGCAACAGCTACAACAGTTATTATTAAAGAATAAAAGTTATCCACAACGCATCGTCGTTTTAGGCAATCAACCTCAGCAACAGCAGTTGTCATTACAGCAGCCACAACGCGTGGTCACTAGCAACAGCACTGGTCAGCAATCTCAACAGATGCAATGTGTTGTTGTCACAAACACTGGCCAACAACCTCAACAGATGCAACGTGTTGTCGTAACTGGAACCGGACAACAACAACAGCAACAACAAATTCAACGTGTTATGGTAGGGAACAATGGACAACAACAGCCGCAACAAATGCAACGTGTTGTTGTCACAAGCACCAGTCAACAAATACAGCAACAGCAGATCCAACATGTTGTCATTCCATGTACTAGTCAACAACAGTCACATCAGGTGCAAAACGTGGTTACACAAACATCTATCCAGCAACAACCACAGCAGTTGCAACGTGTTGTCGTCGCACCAACTGGCCAACAACAGATTCAACGTGTGGTAACTTCCACCTCAAGTCAGCAGCAGCTTGCGCAGCAACACCAACCAGTACAACAACGTATTGTTATTGGACAGCTTAAAACATCGCAGCAAACTCAGCAAATGCATTCGCCTGCACAAAATGGTGCAGTCCTTAATCAGCAAGTGATGCAACGACCGATAGGATCAACACAGCAGCAGCAACGTGTCGTCATTGCAGGTCAGCAGCAAATTTTGAAACTAACAAACCAGCAACAATCTCAACAGCAAATTACACTTCAAAAACAGTTGACTCACAAATTATTGCAACCCATACCATCACCATCACAACAACAAGATGTAGTAAAAAATCAACAGAAACAACTAGATGAAGTAAAAAGCCATTTTCAACAACAAGAAATAATAAAAAACCAACAACAACAAGATGTAGTAAAAAACCAACAGAAGCAACTAGATGAAGTAAATCACCAACAGAAACAGCAAGATGTAGTAAAAAATCAACATCAACAAGACATAGTAAAAAAGCAATCGCAACAAGTGCCACATCAGCAATTATCGCATGGTATTGGTGTTCCTCTAACGCAGCAGCAAAAACATAACCTAAATTTGTTTAATGACAGTTTAGCAAAAGAGCTACATATTAAACAGTCACATCAACTTTTACAGCAATTGCACATACAACCATCCCAAAAACATTCGCAGGAACAAATAAACAAGCAACTACAACTACAAAAACTTAAACAGAAGAAAGAAATAGATCAATTACAACAGCAATTGAAACAACCTCAACGTAGTGGTTTAATCGTTGGACAGTTGCAACAACCGGAAAAACCTGAACCAGAAAAGTTGAAAAAGCAACTTGAGATGCAACAACAACAACGACAGAAACTTCAAGAACGCCTTATACTGCAACAACGACAACAACAACAAAAACTAAAAGAGCAACAACTGCAACAGAAGCACCAACAACAACTCCGTGAACAAGTTTTACTACAGCAACATCTTAAACAACTACAACAGCAGCAACTGCAAAAGAAATTACTACTCAGACAACAAGCATCTCCAGAAAACCGTTTATCGTTAGCTGTAAATGGAAACCAAGATCAGAAAATACAAAATGATGAGAATACAATCAATCGTTGTGAAAAGTCAGAGGAAGCAGAATCTTTACGGCATATAGAGAAAGTTACTGCCGCTGAAAAACAGTACCAACTTGGTATCAAACGAAAAAATAACGAAAAACCACCAGTTGGTGAAAAAGAGGTTTTATTATCATCATCGGATGACGATGACGATGAAACAATACGTAAGCAACGAATTTTGCTTCGTGAAGCTGAACGTCTTGTTCAGGAACGTTATGACGCATTAACAGTAGTGTTAGGATCCAAGTACATAACACAATATGATGAAATTTTAAAAAGCTGGCTGGCTAGCCAATTATCACGTGAAGAATTTGACCGTGAAATTCGCAAGGTTTTGTATGTTTCATGGATCGCTACAAAAAAACATGTTGATAGTGATAACAATAGCAAAAATGCATCTATTAAAACCAACAATAATTCGTATTCAAAGAAAACAACCAAAAAGGACGTGGCAGTCACCACATTAAAGATAAAAGAAGATAATGGTTCCTTAATTGATTCAACAGCTCATAAATCTCCCACATTAAAAAAATTGGCTGAAATAAACGAAGATATAAATGTTGATATTGAAAAAAAAGAAGTTAAAGCTATTTTAGCAGAACGTGTGCCATTGCATAACGCACTCGTCACCAGTTTAATAAAGTGGATGCCACTAAATTGTCAGTGGTTGGAACAGCAAAAGGCACGTTCTCAAGGTGTTTCCGTGAGTGGAGCTCCGTTGCGATTGTATACTTATGCAGATGTACCTCAAGTGCGTGGCCAAAGTGACCACTGGTACCCTGATGTACCTGGCAGCTTGGCCCATTGGTATTGGCCTAATAATTTGCCATGCAAGTCTTCAGCTATGGAAAACATTGAACACCTATCACCGAAAATGTCGTTTTATGAGCAAGAGAAAAAGAAAGTTGCTGATGCTGTAGCTGCAGCGGTCTTAATAAAGCCACCATCGCGAAAATTGCTCCCGTTGCTGATGGAGGTAGCTGAAAACACAGAAAAGTTACGAAGAGCAAGACAATTACAGTACCAGAAGAGATTCCCTAAAAATCAAAATGCGAAAATTACGAAAAGATTGCAATGGCAACGGTTGCAAGAACAAAAGCGGTTGACTACAATGGTGCAATTACGGGATGGATGTTCAAAACTGTTGCGTGAACTCAAAATGCGTCTCCGATGTCTTGCCAATCAAGAAGACCGGCTTATCGAACGGTTACGTCGGCTTCAGATTCGTATGTCACGGCGACGGCGTCAAGTGTTGGCACAATTCAAAATCCGACAAAAGGACTTAAAATCTCGTTTACGAAAGTTTTTCGATAGGTCATACATAGAGCAGCCAAATGTTGATTCTCATGAGCACCTACATACAGATGGTTCTTCTATTGAAGACAACGAGACAGATGACGATGAAAATTCTAATGAAGAAGAACCTGTACAACATTGGAAAGAAGTTCATCAACTGGAGAAGAATCATGGAAATAAGAAGAAGTTTAAAACTACAATTGCTAATCATCAATCTAAACTAAGTGTTCGTGCTCAACGTCCTCAATCAACGGCTTTGACGATACGTTTATTGCGTGACCGACAACTATTCTTGGCTACAACGAGGTTGCTAGAAGTAACAAAGCAGGAACGCTTACATTTAAGTAGCAATGYTGATTATGTCCGTGAGGTTCGAAATAAGAACTGTCCGTGTGGAGAATCTGATAACAGACCATGTCAATACTGGAGACAGATCCGTAAATTACGAAAAAAGTTAAGAGCACGTGAATTGATTGCAATCAAGAAAGAAATGGACCAAGAGCTAGTAAGAAAATCAGCTGAAAGAGAAAAAATAGATGCCGAAGAACTTCAAAAAACAGCAGTCTTAGAAGTCGAAAAGACAAATGTAGAAACCAAAAAAACAAAAGACATGACAAAGTTAACGAATAGAAAAAATGTGACACTGACGAAGAAAAATATCAACGCCGAGGCAGAGGAAAAAGAAGGTGACTCTTCTGCCAAAGAAAAGATTATCAATAATAGTCCCGTGAAAACCAATGCTACTACCGATAACAATAATTCAAAAACATCATTAGATACCACCAATCCGAAAAATGTAGAGATCAAGGTACGACAAATTATGGACAGTTCTGACAAAGTTAACAAGGGAAAACATAATATGGGAATTCATAATTGTAACCTATTGCCTAGTAAATGTCCTCAAAAAACTAGAATTGATATTTTGGGGGATGCTAAAAACCGAATAAGACCACCACTACCAAAAGATAAGAGAAGTGTTGTAAATGTAGCTGATGCTGCTGCTCGAGCGGCTCAAGCAGCATTAGCTGCATCAAAGAAAACTCAACTCCGAAAAACCAGAGCGGCAGCAGCTGCTGCTGCTGCTGCTGCCACTACCGCAGCTATTGCGTCTCCTTCCGGTATAGTTGATAATGATCGGCGAGCAAGTGAACTTATGCCACCGCCACCACCACCACCACCACTAATACCATCAGTTCCTCCAAAATCTGTCACAAATCCAAGAAATCCTACTATTGGGGCTCGATACTTGCAGCAGCAAAAGTTTTTATTAGATCGGCATAGACAGTTAGAACGTATTCGACGCGATGAAGAAGAACGACGACAACGAGCACAAGATGAAGGTCTGCGGCAAGATCAAGAGTGTTTCGACAGAGAAGTGGACGAGACAAACATGAAAATGGAAGATTCCTCGTCACCATATATACCATCTTCCCAAGAAATGAAATCAAAGCGACAAAAAGTTTCATCAGGTACCATTGTCCTGGACATGAATCGGGTAACTGTCAATGAAGAACAAGCAGATCTTAGCTCCCCAATTCGTAGTAACGCTAAAAACGGCGAAGAAACTCAACAATTTAGTGATTATTACTTTTATTATGGTGGTGGTGGTGGTGGTGGTGATTATTATTCATCAGATGAAGAATCTTCTGGATCGTCATTTATTGAAMCTCCATTTCCTCCACTTCTGCATGATCTTCGGATAGATCAGTTACCACGGCCTACGAATCGGATGCCAGCTGCAGCTGTTCTTCCRCCTGGTGTACGAACTCGGCTGCAACCAATGCGATCATCAAATTCCAATATTCATGATGTAGAACAATCAGCTTCTTACAATATCCCACAAGTTGAGACACGGCAGGAACAGATAACCAAAGAGGCTGATGATGGACGTAATATTAATGATCCGGTTGCAAAACAATCCTTGGACTGTGCCATGGAATTCAGTATGCGTCCAAATTCTTTAAGTTTGAACACAATAACTGATACATGCAAGATTACTGAAGCAGATGAGTTTCCACCATCTCAAATGTTGTCCTCAAAAATGTCTAATAAATCGAGCAAAGAATCGCAAAATGAAGTTATAGTACGGCGGGAACAACAGAAAATGCAACAAGATAAAATTAACGATACTAAAATGTTACCAGAACGGCGAAAGCGCCGTCAAGATCCAGACAGATTGTCTGGAGTGAAGAAGACTTTCGATAAAGTTCAACAGCAAGTGAATGAAAATCTAATATTAAAAACGAACCCTTCAACGGAATGGTCAAAACGAGATTCAAAACAAGTTTCAATTACTTCAACTACAAAAATGAATTCATATTTAAAAGATAAAAACAAACACCTTAATAATCAACTGCAGCAACAAAAATCTATGGACAAAATAA